TCATTTGTTTATATATCTAGAATGCATAATGAACACTGTTTTTTGAATGCTGAGTGAGTGAATGTAAGTTTTGCTTTCAATACTAAAATTCCATCACAGTCTACTTCTTAAGAGGAGAATTCATGGGGCCTTTAATAGAGCAAACACTGAGGCTCTTCCTGAGCAAATGAATCCATGTTGGTCTCAAATCTCACAAGCCTCCATCAATCAGGCAGCAGCCTGGGTTTCCCACTGCCCCTCTCTTCTTACAGCTAGTGTCCTAAACATAGAGAAGGAGTCAAGGAAAAGGAAGAAAGTTGGCAGAATCTCTAGCCCACTAGTTCTCCTTTGCTTATGATTTTGACTGTGGTTAGACTGAGAACCTGTTACTTTGCAGGGAACCAGCTGCCTCAGTTTTCAGGTTCTCAGGGAGGGTAGGAAAGAATGATTGTGCCTTTCTTTATTGGGGAGCCACATGTCGGTGCCCTGGATAACTCAGGAGATCAGCCCCCAAGAAGCTAGCTCAGGGATTTACCTGAATTCATGGGAACATTAAAACTGGTCCGTGGGAGACAGACATAAATCCAGCCTCTCCGCTCTAGAGGTTATGCTGGGAACTCTTGGAAGGGGACAGGCAAAGGCCTCAAGGTCATGCCCCCTTGAGTAGGGCTGCTTAGTGAGTTTGGCTGCTTTCCAGAAATGGCTATTCAGGAGGAGAGGCCATAACCCCTCCAACAGCCCATGGGCCTAAGGTCCTGAGAGTAATTACCCTTGGGGGTTACTTATCCTGTTTCATTTTATTGCATTTGAGCTGAAGAGCTTGCTCTCATGGCTCAGCAAACCATCTGCAGCCTCGAGTCTCCTCAAAAAGGGAGAGGAGGGAGATCGGGAGGAATGGTCTGTGTAACTGCTATGTTGAAAGTAAATAAATTAAAGAAAACTAAGCTCTTACTCTGCCTCACTTGTCCTAGTAGGTCTTTTATCAAGTTCTGGCTTTCTGAAGAAAGTATCATTCTCCTGAGGAGACCCCAAGCAGATATGGGGGAGCTGGGAGGACCTGATGGGTGGATAGAGGTGTGGAATGACCCAGGGTTCTGCATGCAGCATGCTACGTGCTGAGAATGATTTGAACCCCTTCTCTATTTTCTCCCTCCTACCTTTTTCCCTATTTGTTGGGAATGGATGAGGTGGGCTTGAGGGATGGGAATGGAGAGAGGAGAGAGCAATGAAAGTCGGGAGGGGAAAGTATTTGGTACATAATATGCAATGTGAGTCCCTCCCTCTTTTAAAATTTTGAAATAGTGGAGTATCCAGTTCAGTAGCTCTCTTTCTCTTTTTTAATCCCTATTTTTTACATTTCTACAGCAGGTTAAGTTATGGGACACATAAAGAGCCATGACCAGATGAGATGTTGACTCAGGACAAAAGAAACATGTAATGGCTAGTAGAAGGAGAAAGTTATAAATACCAACATGGTCACATGACTAATTTTAGAAAGAAAGTCTTTTGTAACTGCTTATTCTCATTCTTGCTTTTATGTGCATATAGGAGTGTGTGTGTGTGTGTGTGTGTGAGTTCTTTTTCTCTCTTTTCTCTTCCCCCCTCAATTCCAATGTAAAGTGGTTAACCTTATAATTTTGCATTTAAATCATAGAATATCAAAGGAAGATTACATCTGAACCAGGAGAGGATATTCCCAGAGCAGCATATGGGACACTTCTTTTTTAGGGGGCAGGGAAGTGAACCCTCAGTTGTGTAAGAGACAGTTGCATCATATCAGGGAGAACATGATGTCCTTATTATCCTTTCTGGGAAGTTCTCATCTCAGGTAGGACTGTGCTCATTTGCCTATTTTTAGTTCAGCATCTCTGCCACACTTTTCTAAGATCTCCTTTGCAATGCAGAGGAGGAGCCAGGAACCACATTTCTTACATTCCCCTTTCGTGTGTGGTTCTGGCTAGAGCTTGTCTGCAAGAGCTTCTCCTGTGAGATATGGAAAAGGCAGAGCCATTTTCCAGAAACTGCTGCCCTCAGGTGCGGAGGCCACTGCGACTTCCCGGTGAGCTGAGGACCACCTGCCTCACTGCTGAGAAGGTGGCAGCTTCCCAGAGAACAAAGAATTCCGGCAGGTGCCAGCTAGTGGCTTCCCTCACCTTTTCTTTTTCTGCTCTTGCAAAGTTTCTGTGAGACTCTAATTTTTATATAAAATCCTTGACTTTGGAGTAAACCTTTAATACCTAACCAGGAACCCATGGAGGAATGAGTTTGTCTGTTTTTCGTGATGAAACACCCTTACAGAGCTGAACGTCCTGGCACAGGGGCTGGGTTGGGCATGTGTCTCTCACACCACACGATAACACCTGGCTTCTGACTGACTCTAACTTTTCAACACTCTTCCCAGCAGTGTTTGTTGCAGTGGATTTTGTCTAGGTGCCAAGGGAGAAGTGGCTAGTGGGAGAACAAGACAGTGGTCTGGACAGTCTCACCACAGCTGCTGTGTGGATCTGATGACAAGGGAAGGGTCATCCTGGAGGCCACTTCTTTTGAGTTGGGGGATGTCATGTGGGTAACTTTGGCTGGAAGTGCCAGACTCTAGATAGAGGCAGCTCAGAGTCTGCCAGGCCAGGTGCCCCAAGAGCACCCTCCCCTCCTTCTGGCCACTCTAGAAGCATTTCTTCAAGTGGAACCTTGCTTCTGGTGGGTTCCCAGCCATGGCCTCAGGTTGTCCCACACGGGGTTCAGACACGGATGGGCCTGTTTGATGGCTGGCGAGTGTGTGTGTCAGGAACTTCCGGCGTAAAGTGAGGGCTTTGTGGAAGTGGTCAAGACCATGGACTCTGGTGGCCAACCATCGGCATTTGAATTCTGCCCCATCACTTACTAGCTGTGTAACCTTGGGCAAGTTTTTAGACATTTTTGGCCCTTAGTTTTCTCATCTGTATAGTGGGGATATTAATAACATCTGCCTCATAGGGAGGATAATTCATGTAAAGTTCTTAGAACAGTGTCTGGCTCATAGTAAGTGCCATGGGAGGGTAAGCTATCATTATTGTTATGACCGAGGACAGACAGGTTGGCACAATGATGGAGTCTTCGGGGAGGAGGTCAAGCGATTCCAAGGGCAGCATCCTTACACCAGGCTGCTGTGGACTCACACCTAACTCCTGTAGAAAGCAGGGAGGACACAAGTGGAAACTAAGACAAAAGTGTTCACTAAAACTCTGGGAGACAGAGGGGCCCTGTGTTGGTGCCCTAACAGAATGGGTGGGGGCAGTCTGCCCATCTTGGCAGAGAACACAGCCTAGCAGGAGTCAGCAGACATGTGCTTGGGAGATGATTGGGCTTGCTGTGGGCTCAATGCCAGACACCTTCAAGACTGCCCAAAATAGCTTAGGAGGACTTTGCAAAAGGTAGAAGGTCCCTTTTTAGCAAGAGGTTTGAGAGTCTTAAGAACTGGTTGTACTTACATCAGATACCAATTCCTAGGGTAGAAAAAGACCAAGGCCTCTGGTGATAGAAGAACCTAGTTTGAATCCCAACTCTGACTCCTACTAAACTGTAAATGTGTGGAGAGCAGGAGCCATCTGATTCACTGTGGAGCACATAGGATTCATTACAGGCATGAATGAGTTTAATATACTGGAACCTCAGTTTCCTCATCTGTAATATGGAAAAAGGGTAATGGCCACTACAGCTAATGCAAAGTTACTTTAGACCATGCCACAGTCATCTAAAGTCCATAATAAATATTAATGAGAAGCCTTCTTTTTAAAAAAATAGTACATATTCAATGTCTTGCTTAAAATAGAAACACAATACATTTTGTTAACTCAGATTGATTAATGCCATGTTAGTGTAGTAAATGCAGTCCATTCTACTTTTGCCAAAGGCTAGATCCTTTAAGAGAAGAGATCATACCTCTCACAGATTCCCCCCCCCCCCCATTTAATCAGTGCTTTTTAAGTGTCATTTATGACTCAGTGTTTTCTGATAACAGTCAAAATATAGCTAGCAATTGGTTATTACTGTTTCATTTCAGGAGAGTAAAAGATTGTAGATAGGTTACTAAATAATCAAAACAGATTATGATCTGACTTGATAAAGCTGTAATACTGGGAAAAATGTTGATTTGGACCCAAGAACTCACATTATATAAACACTACATATTATTATTAAGTCTTTCCTTTCTGTGTGCATTTAAAGTGCTTTCTGACTATTTCTGTTCAGGCATGCTTCAAATAATGGAGTCTTACTTGTTTTCATGCCCATATAAGTCTTCAAGAAATACCAAATAATCATTGGGAAAGGACCTGTTCCTTGCTTTCTTCCCATTCCCTGTCTCGACTCTTTGCATGCTGTGCTCCTGGAAGCCAGGTACCTAAATGTATTAAATGTGGCCTGAAGTTTACATGCATTGTGACACCAATGAGGTCTAGTTTGCATGTGGATCCATTCCTCTCCTAGGTTTCAAAATGCACAGGCTTTGGTGTTGTTCTTTTCTTCAGAACCAGAATGGTCTTTGGTTAGCTTTTGGGTGTTGAAATCATGTTTTATATAATTGATATTCTTTGCCATATAACTGTCCAATAAAGATGGGTATGTCAAATGTAATGTCTTGGAAGAGAATGAACCAAGTACTATAGAATGTACTACTAATGCCAATATGCTTTTATGTGATTTGATTATGCATCACCATCTGTTCATTGAATCAAATTATTTTTTAATATTTATTTTATAAGGGATGGTATATTGTTATATAGTTTATAGTTTCTTCACTTCTGATATCCTTCAATTCTTTTTCAAGATCAGAGAGACCTCCCTGCTCTGCAGAAAATATTATTTATTAATGTGGGACAAATTTTCTATAGGAACAAGCCAGGGCTACTTAATATAAGCAATATTGGGCATATCAACTTAATGGCTTGAGTAATAAAACATATCAAAACATGAATCATCACTGTCAGACACAAGCTTTTAACACCTTTAATTGATATAATTGGTATACAATAAGTCTTACAACAAATGTAGATACAATTACATCAAATATCAAAAAAGTTGCAGGTCTTTCCATCTTTAAATGATGTGGCTAACTCACCCCAAGAAAGCAATCTGGCATTGGTCTCTTGGTTAGCACTATTACCAATACCAACTAGCACTTTAAAATCAAAGTTGAAATGGTACATTCATTTGCCAAGAAGAGGTTAAAGGCAAAGAAGGTGAATCAACGTGCAAATTAGCATCTGGCCCAGTTGCAAAATTCATTTCCCAAATGCAAGGAATTGAACTATGCAACCTTGTAAGCAAGATGGAGGGCAAACAGATGATATCAAACCAAAATCAACTCCACAAAGAATCCAGAAGACCCCAGGATGGTAAAAGCCAGAGGTCTATTACTGTTAGTGCTCAGGTATCCATACTGTCCTACCCTAACCTTCTGGATCCTAACTCAATAGTCTGTGAGACCTATGCCTCAAGCCATCTTTCATTTGCAGATGGAAACTAACCTTTGTAGTTCCAGGCATGGTTAACCCTCAGTCAGTCAGCTGTACTGGGGGTAGCCTGGAGCTGGAATAGCCATCTGATGTGGCTACAACACAGCTGTCATTTTATAGATTTAAGTAAAAACAACACACCAGTATAACAACAAACAAGAAACTGAGATCACTTATATATCTATGTAATACTTAAAATACTTAAAATGTCTATAAATATTCTTTTGCAGAAACTGAAAACACTGTAGACATGATTTCATTAGTCCTCACAACGTATTTGTGAGGTAGCATGGGTGAGGTCACTGTGAAAACATCACCCCCATTTAAGAAATGAAGACACAGACATCCAAACAGAGCAGGGGACTTCACTGGGGCCATGGGAAATGAAAACAAAGTTGAATTTTATCATTTCATCATTTGCAAGCTATAGTTTAGAAGAGGCTGTTCACCTCCCCCCTGCTCTGTCATTCCTCTAATGCTTTGAATAGTCCTGTCCCTGGATGGCATGTGGCTGTTTAAATTCACTGGAGCTATTTCCCTTGGGTAGAGCTGGACAGACTCTCCCTGAGGTAAAGGTCATCAATTATCTATATATATTGTGTGTGTGTAGCAAGTTGAATTCAGTTGCTAAAATCCTTTGGCCAACTCAAAAATAGAAAAGAAAATGCATTTGGCAAAATAAAGTTCATCCCATTGGTATTTTATACTAACATAACAAAGAGTGTGAGAGTTTGATAGAAAGCTGTCGCCTTGGAGGAAGGTGTATATCTGCCTGCTGATTGAGACCTGCTTTGGGTTCAGATCTCTCCCTTTTCCATAAGGACTTGAAAATTCATAAGAACAACAAACCATCAGCTGCTCTTGCACAGTTGCAGCCTTTGGTAAGGAAACATGCTGGCTGAGTCCGTGGCTTATGTAGGTCAGAATTCCTTGGCAAGAGGCTGGTTCCTCTGATCCAGTGATTATGACGGAAGCAATGTCCAGAGGTGCACCTCTACAAGGTGTTTCACGGACACTTTGTCAAAATGCTTTTGACTGAGGGAGAAGAAAAATATGGGATATTCTGTTTTTATTGAATCATCCTTTGCCGAACTTAGAGCCTATGCAGGGAGTGAGGGTAGGGAAGAGGGACAATTATTCAGGCCAAGTGTTGCTGGCGAGGGCACCATTTGTCGTTCCTGGCCATCTTTCTGAGCATGTCCACGTAAACAATTTTTTTTGTTGGTTTTAAACAATCAGAGATATCAGCATTCCACTCCTCATTGCCCACTCCTTTTGTGAAATTCCTCTGGAGGTTGCTCATGTTCCTGTGGTGCCTATGTGTTTAGGAATAAATTCTTGCAGAGTGTGCGATGGCAGGCTTGTGGACATGGCCTGGACCCTGGTGTCTTTGGCACCACAGGGGTTTAGGACAGCACAGCAATGGTGGTTTGCATGCCAGCACTTTGCTGGTCACAAGGAGTGACAGGATGAGCTGCGGGTCAAGTTTCTGGAAACTAACAGAGTTGTGGCAGCAGGTCCAAGTTTAGAAATAAAAACTGACCAGTGCCAAGTTCTTTATGACACTGTTAGACAACAGAACACCGTTTGGAAGGGGATCTGATGTATATTTTCTCCTCCATGAAATCAGGACATCAGACACTGGTTACTAATATCAGGTGTTGTAGGAGGACAGAGTTATACCATGACACAGAGCCATCTTGAACACACAAATTTAAGGCACCTGGCGTGCTCAAAACAATCCATCAGCTAGCAAATTAAACACTTTTGAGATTAAAAAACGAATACATTTTATTTAATTAAAAATCTGGGAGTGTCCTGTTCTGTCATGATGGGCATTGAAATACATTAGGGATTCTCCAGCTGAGCACTATTGACACTTTGGGCCAGATAATTCTTTTTGTGGGCTCTTCTGTGCAATGTAGAATGTTTAGGGAAGCCATGGTCTCTACTCACTAGTAGAAGCCCCAAGATGTGACAGTCAAAAATGTCACCAGATGTCTTTGTATGTCCCTCCCACCCCTGAGTGGGGTGCAAAACTGCCTGGTGGATGAGAACCACTGGAATCAGTGGATACCTGCAAAAATGATCAGTTATTTCTCAAAATCTGTTGTGCGTGATTTAAAGACTCTCCACCCAGGGGTTTTGATTTATTAGAGGGCAGAATTAATAAGGTATGTGGGTGGGAAAAATAAATGGATTAACCACCATGTCTGTTTGCTATGGAAATGCCTCGCTGAGCAATTGTAGATAGTTTAAAATTTTTTTTTAGAAAACAGTTTACGGCCATTATCCAACAGACAGTTGGCAGTGAACCAGTTGTTTTGTGGGCATAAAGCAAGGAATCTATGGGCTCCTCCAACCAGTGGATGCCTCTGACAGTTAATGAGACTGATTCCCACTTTACCTAGTGAGGTACTCAGTGCATGTCAGCTCCTCCCTCCTCCATTCCCCTCATTGTACACTCCCTCTACATGCCTCCCGCTTTCTCATCTCTAACTAAGTTCATCTTCTAGCCTTCTCCCGAGGAACCGCAACTCCACTGAAAGCTCGTGGGCTGGGATCCCAGCTGGTGTTGACTAGGGCAGGCATCCTTAGCAGAGACAGGTGGCCTGGCGGGGAGAACAGGTAGAAGGTATGCTGAGATATGAGGCAACCTGCAACTGTGCCCCTCTGCCTGCTGGCCTCCTCAGGGGCACTTTCCAGTTCCTCTTTCATTAACTAGGCAGCTAAGAGGCTGGGATACAGCTTGTAGAGCCCAGCAAGGGTCCTGTCAGACACAGCCAGATAAATAGATATTAAAAAGGAATCTGAGAAATCCCTGCTTCCTCACCTGCAGGGTGAGATCCTCCCAGAACTCATTTCCTCCCCACTGATTGAGATTTAATGTAATTTTCTAAATAAAAGTCTAAGATATACCACAAACAAAAAGTTTCCCTAAAAGTAACCCCTATCAAAACAACTGGATTCCTCTTCCTCTGTCCTCACAGTGGGTCCTGTGGTGGGTACAGAAGCCTCCATCATGGTGGTCTGGCACAGCGCTCAAGGTTGGCCCATTTTAGCTGCAAGTCAGTCTCCACATACCTTTAAATAATGGTTCTTTTTGTACCAGAAAGGGGAAGTTATAGCAGCCAAAGGAGAGGGAGGAAAATGAAGCAACCAAACCAATAAAACAGGGCTTAAGATTGTCGCTCAATGCACATCAGGTACTTGTTATTAATTCTACTGGATAAGCACTTATAAATAAAGAGCAGTTATCCCTCATCCCAGGCCATGTTCCTTTGTTAGGAGTCGTCATACAGAGGATTGTTGTAGTTTCCCCAGGACCCGTAGTCATGATCATCCAGAAGTCTTCCATAGGAGGAATGCCTGGTGGGAAGGAGAAGACACTTGTGGTTACTTGGGAAAGTTGCCCATCGTTGGACAGCCTAATGCCCTGCAGCCTGAACTGGGGAGAATCACAGGGCCCACAAGAGGGAAGCCGTGATTCGTCACTATGACCACCCCTTGGCAACAGACTTATCAACAATGGAGGCCCCAGTCCACAAACACCCTGTAAGTTGCAGTTGATCAGAAGGGAGCCCAGATAGCACCTTCTGTTGGGATCCTGTTTTTCTCCTTGACCTTCAGTGCTGGAGAAGGAGAGGGCCATTTCCATGATTATTTAAAAGGAAGTAATGGGAGCCTGGCCGGTGTGGCTCAGTGGTTGAGTATCAACCCATGCACCAAGAGGTCACAGGTTTGATTCCAGGTCAGGGCACGTGCCCAGGTTGTGGGCCCGATCCCCAGTGGGGGATGTGCAGGAGGCGACCAGTCAATGTTCTCTCTTATCAATGTTCCTATCGCTCTCTCCCTCTCAAAAAAAAAAAAAAAAAAAAAAAAAGAAGTAATGGGAAACAGGGAAGGTTGCATTCCTGGCATTTTGACTTAGGTCCTGGACTTAAATTTTCCCTGAAATAAGAATGTTCCCACCCCTTCTGATATTCATATAGCCTTTTACAGTCTACAAATGCATCTATGTTTTGTTTTAATTGATCCTCAGAATAAAGCCATGGGGTAGATATTGCTTATCCTTATTTCTCCAATGAGGAAAATGGGGCTCAGAGATGTTAATTGATATGCCCAGTCAACCAACTGAGCTATGAGTCAAACCTCTACCTCCTGGATCTAAGTCCAGTGCTCTGAGCTCAGCTTCCCAGAGTCTGATTAGCATCTAGTTCAATGGCAGTATGGGTTTCACAAGCTTTGGTGGGTCATTCTGGGAACTTGTCCCACAATATAATATTATTTCTATGAGAAACTGAAGTCAGCCAAAGTCATTACAAAGGTTTGCAAAGTTCTTGTTACTTTTCTGAGCACATCAGCAACCACTCCAGTTTCTCTTGCTCCCTCTGCTCCAACATGCTGGTCTCCTTGCTCTTCCCACTCATGACTGGCATACTTTTGCCTCAGGGCCTTTGCACTTACTGGTTCCCTCAGCTTGGAGCAGTTGTCCTCCAGATCTCCACATGGCTCATTACCTCATCTTCTTCAAGTCTTTGTACAAAAGTCACCTTCTCAGTAAGGCCTTCCTTAAGAACTCCATTTAAACTTGCAGCTCCCACCCCACCCCAGCCCACCACCCAGGCACTCCCTGCTTTATTTTTCTCATAATTCTCATCACCTTCTAACATACTATATCATTTACTTACCTATTTTGTTATTGCCTTTCTCCTCTAACTGTACTGTAACTAGGGATTACAGTGATACCTCGGTTCTCGAACGCCTCGGTTTTCGACCAAATGGAGATTCGAGAAACTTTTGTCTCGGAATCCGAACAAATATTTGGAACTCGAACTTCCGAGATGAGCCGAATGGCGTTCATTCGGCCCAGCGTGCCTTGCTTGCGTCATCAGTGTGAGTGCAGAGAGAGAGAGTCACGCTTTGTGGAGTCACGCTTTCCTATTGGTTTCATTGCTTCGGTTCTCGAACAATTCGGTTCTCGACCGTCCTCCTGGAACGAATTATGTTCGAGAACCGAGGTATCACTGTATTTGCCTGTTTTCTTTGTTCTTAGCTCTATCCCCTTAAGAATATCTGGCACATAGGGCACATAGTAAGTCTTCAGTAAATGTTGGTGGAAGAAACAGTGATTAGAAAAACATGCATCCTGAAAGGCCAGTCTGTTCACAAATTGGGAGCTTCCTGGAAAGGACTATGGCCATTTGAAGACAGAAAGTAAAGACAGGATAGGGACAACATCACAAAATGAGCATGCGCTGTCTCTGAGGCTCATGCTAACGTGTGAATAATGACAGCTTGCCACTGAAAATCAGCTGTGCTATATATAGTACAGATAGACATGCCCAGTCCCCCTAATGTTTGCCTTAACTAGATAGAAAAATTAAACAAAATGAAAATATAACCTGAGAAGCACAGAAAGAATTTACTATACTTATATTTGTTGCTAAAATAATTGTTATTACTCTGTGAAGCTTAGTTCCAGGTATTTGACAAGAGATGATCTGTTGGAAAAAAACAGACTTTTGATGTGCTGGTTTCAAACTCTTAGCCTTCAAAATCCTGATTTCTGTCCTGAAGGCTGGCTCAGCTGACTGTCTATACATCTGGAAACTTGAAGCTGTTCCACAATACGTTTTATTTTATTTATGGGTCCACATTCATTGCTGTGGGTGTGAGGACGAAAAAGATCACAAATAACACACCACTGATCTTCTGAGTGACTGAATGGAGAGGCCAGTTTTGGTAAATGAGGTCACTAGCTATCCATCAGCAACATTCCTCCCACATTTAAAACCTCCAATTGTAATCAAACCCTTTAACAGGAGGGTTGAGAAAGTGGAAGCTGTAGAATGGACAAGTGAAAACCTGGGGATTATAAGACTGGAAGTGAGCCTAAATTTCAGCATGACATAGTGTTGCAAGTCTGGCCAACATCTACCCAATAAACATGTTCCTTTATTGACAGGGCATTCCTGTCTCACCTTTGTATGGCAAATTAACTTCTCACACCATTTTTATTTCTATCATATAATTTTATTCCCTTAAGATGTCAGTAGGGTCAATAGATGTATGTTCTTGAATGTGTTTTTAACCCCCTGTTTCTCCATCTATAAAATGGAGAAACTTAAAAAAAATTGTGTTAGGGTTGTTGGGAGGATTAAATGAGGTAATGCATATAAAAGGCCTGGCACATAGTAAATACACAATAAATGTTGGCCAATATTGCTTTATAATTTTATTATAATGAAACTTACAAGCACAAGGCAAATCTGTAAATAGTAAAAAAAAAAAAAAAAAAAAAAAAAAGACACAGAGTGAAAAGTGAGTCTCCCTCCAACCAGGAACTCCTGCAACTATGCCCCAAGCCAAGTTATAAAACCAGCTTCTTATATTATTGTTATTTGAATTATTAAAAATTATTGTCATGCTGGAGTGAAGTTAGAGGCTTAAAAATCTACTGGTCATCAGGTTTTACTGATAATGGTTATTTTAGGTAAGACTATTTGATCAGAGCTGTACCTGAATCCGCTTTATTAGAAGAAGCATCTACTGTACAAGCAGTAGTAAAATAAAGAAAAAAGATGGGTCTTTCATTTTTCTTAGCCTTCTCATTTCATTGAACAGCGAGTTGAGCAAAATACTGATAACAGGATAGCAAAGCAAGAGATGTAGATAAACTATATTTGGGAATGTACTGAACTCACAGGGCTTGTTTAATATATTAATGAGGAAAAACAAGAAGAATTGAGTGTGCTGTGATTCATGCCAGGTTTGTTTAAATCCTACCATATTTAGAAAGCGTATATGTGTGCGTGTAAGTGTATATGTGATAAGGGGAGAATAATTAATGATCACTTTAAACTCTCTCTCTAGGTCGCAACTTCTTAAATCATGGCATGCTTTAGATAAAAATGGGGGAGGTTTTCAGACTGGCATTTGTAGAGTCCCATTGTAGGAAGGTGGGGCTCAAGGAATCTAGATGACTCTGTCCACGTGATTCAATGATAGAGCTGGTAGTAAAACCTAGGCCTCCCTGTTCTATAGCACAGCGCTGCCTCGTCTAATGGCATCTTGGGTCAAAGCAGTTTTGTTTACTCAATCTCTTAGTGAAGACTGGCACCCATTCAGCATCGCTCTGTTTCTACTGGCTGTGCCTTGGCTCCCTTTAAATGGCAAACCTCTTGGGGGCAGACGTTTCTTCTCATTTTCTGAACATCTAATAGGCTGCTCTTGATGCAGTCGTTCTTTTATAAATATTTGATGATAGCTGCATACATTTAGTAGCACATAAACAGTATATATGGAGTTTGCTTGGTCATTGCCAGCAGGGAGTTACGACCGCTGGCAATTCATTGTGCAATAAGGCCATGGCAAAGTGAAACATCTTATTAAAGAACACAAAGGGTCAAAGCCACCATTTTGACCTTAAATATAGGAAGAGGAAACGGCTAAATTTCTCCCATGTGATGATGTGGCTTTAAAGTACTGGGCACAATGCTCCCAGTCCCTGCTAATCAGTGCTGTGCTTACTGTCAATGTTTTTTGCTTTGCATGGCTTAGTTAGCTAAGAGCAGAGCCCGAGGAGTCAAAACAGGGAATGATTTATGTTCAGTCCTTGCCTCATTGCTTCCTTCTCAAGGGGTGTGGCTCTAACAGGAAGCAGTCCTCCCCATTTGCCCCCTCCCAGCTGCTGAATCCTTGTTGGTGACAACTGGTACATGTGATGGTGACACTGTAGTTTAAGGCCTTCTCCACAACTACAAAATGGTATCTTTTTTTTTAATCCTCACCCGAGGATGTTTTTCCATTTATCTTCAGATAGAATGTGTGTGTGTGTGGAGGGGGGCGCGCAGAGAAGAAGAGAGAGAGAGAGAAACATTGACATGAGAGGGTCACATTGATTGGTTGCCTGACCAGGGTTGGGGACAAATGGCAACCAAGGTACGTGCCACAGCTGAACCCATGACTCATGAGTCTGCAGCCCAATGCTCTACCATTGAGCTAAACCAGCCAGGACCAAAATGGTATCTTTTATTTTTTTAATCTTCACCCGAGGACATTTTTTTCCATTTTTTGTTCAGATAGAGTGGGAGGGAGAGAGAAGAAGAGAGAAACATTGACATGAAAGGGACACATTGAGTGGCTGCCACCCGCACCACCAATCAGGGCCAGGGACAAACTGTAACCAAGGTATGTGCCTTTAGTGGGAACCAAACCCGGGTCTCTCTGGACCACAGGTCGATGCTCTAACCACTGAGCAAAACTGGCCAGGGCCCAAAATGGTATCTTTTAAGATAACTGTAGCATCAGTACGTAATGGAACTCAATTGTCTTTGAAAATGAATGAGGTTTTACTTTCCGTGTGT